ATATTGATCAGTGGAACAGAACAGAGAACCCAGAAATTGACCCAAGCCATTATGGTCAATTAGTATTTGACAAAGGAGGCAATAACATACACTGAAGTAAAGACAGTCTTTTCAATAAATGGTGTTGGAAAAATTGGACAGATACATGCAAAAAAATGAAACTGGACCACCAACTTACACCATACACAAAATTCAAAATTCATAAAAGACTTAAATGTGAGGCATGAAACCATAAAAATCTTAGAGGAAAACATAGGCAGTAAAATCTCAGACATCTCTCATAGCAATATGTTTGCTGATGAATCTCCTAGGGCAAGAGAAACTNCATAGCAATATGTTTGCTGATACATCTCCTAGGGCAAGAGAAACTAAGGAGAAAATAAACAAATGGGACTGCATCAAAATAAAAAGCTTTTGCACAGCAAAGGAAACTATCAACAAAACAAAAAGGGAGCCCACTATATGGGATAACATATTTTCCAATGACACATCGGATAAAGGGTTAATATCCAAAATATATAAGGAACTCATACAACTTAACAAAAGGAAGACAAACAATCCAATTAAAAAATGGGCAATGGACCTAAATAGACACTTCTCCAAAGAGGACATACAAACGGCTAAGAGACATATGAAAAAATGCTCAACGTGGCTAATCATCAGAGAGATGCAAATTAAAACCACAATGAGGTATCACTTCACATCTGTGAGAATGGCTCCATCAACAAGTCAACAAACTACAAGTGCTGGCGAGGGTGTAGAGAAAAGGGCACCCTAGTCCACTGCTGGTGGGAATGCAGACTGGTGCAGCCACTATGGAAAGCAGTATGGAGTTTCCTCAAAAGATTAAAAATTGACCTGCCATTTGACCCAGTGATCCCACTTCTAGGAACATATCCTAAGGAACCCCAAACACCAGTTGCCAAGAACTTATGCACCCCTATGTTCATAGCAGCACAATTCACTGTAGCTAAGATTTGGAAACAACCCCAGTGCTCATCAGTAGAAGAGTGGATAAAAAAGCTGCGGCATATTTACACCATGGAATACTATGTGGCTGTGAAGAGGAAGGACCTTTTGGCCTTTGGCACAGCATGGAGGGAACAAGAGAGTATTATGCTAAGTGAAATGAGCCAGTCGGAGAAGGACAAGTACCAAATGATCTCACTTATATGTGGAATATAATAAACAAATAAACTGATGAACAAAGTGGATTCAGTAACATAGAAGCTTGGAACAAACTGAGGGATCTCAGAGGGAAGGCAGGGAGGGGATTTTGGGTGGGGAGAGATTAATCAGGGAACTTGTATGTTTATGGGCATGGCCCATGGACGTGGACATTGGTGTGGGGAGGGCCTGGGGGTGGGATGGATGTGGGGTGGAGGGGATCAGTGGGGTTAAAAAGGGGACATCTGTAATCGTCTCAACAATAAAGAAAAAATAAATAAAATAAAAACATAAGTTTGTTGTACCTGAAAGTTCCAATAGTCCCCAACTTTAGGGGATATAGTTCCCCAGCAGACACCTGGAAACACTGGGACATTATGTGTGTATCATAATGACTGAGGAATACTACTGGCATCTAGTAGGGAAAATCCAGGCATATTTATGTCCTATACTGCATGGAACAGTCTCCCATAATGAAGAACATCCTTCCCCAAGTCAGTGGGAACCCCACTGGAAAACAATAAATTGCTAATTTAGTAAATATTTAGTAAACATTTATTATTAAGGTTTTTCATAGATGGAACATTTAAAAAATTCTACTCACCTAGTTTTAAAAATAACCAAGAAAAACCCTTATTCATTAAGCATAGGAAGTAGTAAAAAGAATAGTGTCCAATTGGAGAGGGTTCCATTTCAAGTAATGGCCAGGTAGCTCTTACATACCAACCCTCCAACAGATAAAAATCACAAACTCTGGACAAAATGTATCACCTACCTGAAAGTAATGGAAAGCAACCTAAAATAGGCTGATATAATAGAGAACACTTAGAAGAAGAAAATAGCATTGAGTGACTTTCCTAATTTTTATAGCTCCTAGCCTGAGGGGAGTCCCCATTCTGTATCATGGGAGTCCATAGCTTTACTGACTTGAAGAACCATAGGACAGAATTTGGGCCAATGGCAGCTGCTGAAAAATGAAGCAAGAAACAATGGCAAGAACCAGAGAAAAAGCCCTAAATTCCATGTATAAACTCTGCCCCAAACTCTTGGCTGGTCTCTAAAGCATGCATGCACAGGAAAGATTCCAAGTAGGGCAGCTAGGTTAAAGAACCAAACTGGGATTTGAGCTGCCACCAATTGCAGTGGAGCAAGAGCTTGAAACAGAAAATCATCCAAATTAACTATTAACATATTTAAAAAGTCTTTGGAGAAACATATCAGAATCCAAGGTTTTTACATTTTATTCACCATGTCCAGGAGAAAATCTAAATTAGTAACAAATGAAGAAACAGGAAAATATAATCTATTCACAAAAGAAAAGACAATCAAGGAATTCTGTCACTGAGATGATGTCAATATTAAAATAAGCAGAAAAAGATTTTAAAGCAGCTGCTATAACTATGTTAAAAATTGTAAGGGAAAATGTGCTTGTAATGAATGAAAAGATAAGAAAAAGCACCAAAATACAAATTATAAAAACTAAATGAAATTTCTAGAACCAAATAACATAGTAATTGAAAGAAAAATGTTCATTGAATGGGCTTAAAAGAAGAATGATTACCAGAGAGTAAGTGAACTGGAATATAGATCAAGAGAAACAATCCAATTGGGAGGGGAGGGGGGAGGGAGAATGAAAAAAAATCAACAGAACCTCACAAATCTGTGAGACATCAAAAGGTCTAGTATATGTATAAAGAAGGAAAGGAAAGAAAAAATTGATTAACTAAATGAAGCAGTCAGAGGAAAATGACATTATTATGCACAGGGGTAAAACAATTTGAGTACTACTGACTCCTTATTAGAAACAACGGGGGTCAGAAACAATGGAACAATGTCTTTAAAGTGTGTGTGTGGGGGGGACCGTCGACACAGAAATATATTCAGCAAAAATATTATTCAAGAAGGAAAACAAAATAGACATTTTTATATAAAAGAAAACTATAACACTTAACTAATTGCCAAAAGACCTGAACTGTAATAAATATTAAAGTTTTCAGGCTGAAATGACTGATACTACTGAAGAGAAAGGAATAAGAGCATTAGAAGTGACAGTGTGGATAAATATAAGAGTATTTTTTCTTTTCTTTTTTTTAAAATATATCTTTATTGATTTCAGAGAGAGGAAGGGAGAGGGAGAGATAGAAACATCAATGATGAGAGAGTCATTAATCTGCTCCCAACTGGGGATTGGGCCTGCAACCCAGGCATGCGCCCTGACTGGGAATCGAACACCTGATTCGTCTGGATCCTAGGTCGACGCTCAACCGCTGAGCCACACCCAGAGGGTGAATATTTTTTCTTAATTTATTTAAAAAATATGTATGACTGTAAAAAGCAAACTATACCATTTTATTGTGGAGTTTATAACATATGCTATTTGTAAGACATGACAACTATAAGATAACAGATAGGGTAATGAGGTAAACATGCCTATGTGGTTACAAAGATTTTACATTTTATGTGTAGTGGTACAATATGAACTATAAATAGGCTTTGTAGAGTTGCACCTCTTGATATGGGTTTGGTTTACACAGGTGTATGCATTTGTGAAGACTCATTAAATTAAGATTTATGTATTTTATTAAATGTAAATTTTACCTAAAAGTAAAAAAATAAAAGCTAAAAAATTGATGCCTAGCTAATGCTATGCAAGCTGAAGTCTTTAGGAATGAAGTGTGTCTGAAACTTATTGTGATCTGTATCAAAACAAGAAGACAGATTGCTTGATAGATAGAAAGATGGATAAATACATGGTAAAGTGAATGCGGTAAAATCTGAAGTTAAGAATCTAGGTAGGAGTACATAGGCATTCTCTGTAAATTACTTAACTTTTATGTTTGAAATTTTTTAGAAGAAAATGTTGAAAAGAGTATTGCCAATATCAGGTCAGGATGGAAAAATAAAACAGGAAAAAGGAAAAGAAACTGAAAAAAGAGAGATACAAAAAGAAAAAAGATAGTCAAGCTAAAACAGGCTGAGAAAACCAAATGGTAAGGGAGAGACAGAAAAGAAAAAACAAAGACAAGACAGCAGGAAATAGAGAGTACAAGGTGCCATTCACTGGAAAACAGAAATGATAATAAATGTAATCACTACTCTTTGTTGTTTGGAAATTTCATATGATAGTTTTAAAGTTAATTATCAGTTTTGAAGTTAAAGATTAGACTTATTTTGTCACAGAATTCAAAATTATGTACCTGTGAAAATTATTAAAGTATTTGCTTCAGAATCTCAGAAAGTGTTTACTACCAGTCTAAAAGCCCCTTTGATTTTCAAAAGTTGTTTGATTATCTTGTGGTTTGTCCTCAAAAATTCTGCATTACATCATTCAGTTGTAATGTTTACTTAGGGCCAGATCTGGAAGAAACCTCGGATTCCACACCTGTAGTTATGAATTTCTGCTCTTCCAATCCTCTCCCGGTAAGCTAGCAGCTCTATCCACCACACAGTGTATCATTCCAAAGCCGATGCTTTTCACTTAGAGCTATTTCCCGGGAACTTCTGACTTACGATATAAATATACTGTCCTTTATCGTGCCAATGTTAAGTGTTTTAGTTATTAAGTAATTGTTAATGAAGACATACTTTATACATTTGATCTCCATTAAGCAGTATTTTTCTTCTCATTAACCAACCACTAACATCTGTGAAGGCAGAGCCCATGTCTAGGTTTCACGAGTATCTACCACAGTGCTTAGAATGTGGAAGACCCTGGCTAAATACCTACTGAATGAATGAATGAAGAATGTTTACTGTAATTCACAATATCCCTTTCTCAACTGATGCTGAACAGAAATCATAAACATTAGGACAACAGTAAAATTTGACTAATTACTTCAAATATTAGTTCTAATAATACTGTGTTCTTACATATATTTTAACATTTTTTGCTATCCTAAATGGTTTAAAGGGTATTGTGACTTGACTAACCTAGAAGTTTTACAAATTAAAAGTCAAATGATATATTTATATTATAAAAATAAGTGCCTATTTTTTGCATTCTAACAAATCAATACTCTTTTCAAAGTTCAAAGGAAAGAGAAGCTGGTATTGATTTCTGTCAAAGTAAGATTCAATTCTTATAAAGACTAATAATCTCAGATCAGAACCAAATAAATTTCAGAACTCAGTTTGAGAGAAAAAAGGAAAGGTTTTAGTTAAAATCTTTACAATAAAATAATTATGATTATAAATCTCTAGTTAAATATGTACACATTACATTGTATTTTAAAAAAGAATGGAAGTGAATAAAGTTTTTCAAGCAAATCTAATACACAAATATACCATTTTTTAGGGTATAATGTCAGTTTAACATTCTTAAACAGCTGTGTCAGACAATGGCTCTGCTTTGTGCAAAACATGATAACCAAAATTAAGAAAAATTCTGCAAAATTCTTTAGTTCCTCAAGAAAATACTAAAAAAGAAAATAGTAAAAGAAAACAAGATTGTACACTCAAGCTTGATTGTATACAGAGGCTAGAATGACGGGCACTAATGTAACCCCCATATGTGCTAAATAAGTCCTTGGGTAGCTTCAGTTTGAAGTTAAAAGTTAAAGTCCTAGCAACTGTGCTTTTATGCAGCCACATGGCCAATAAGGTAGATGTTGTCATAAAGGTGCCCTACGAAATCTTCACTAATATTCTGAGCAGCACGACGAGTATTTCGAATGAATTCTCGTTTTGACATTTTATTCTTCACGTGAGGGCTAGTGAGGTCAATGGAAAGGAGAATCAAAGAGTAGCACAGTACATAGACAGCATCTGCAAGGGAAAGGAAACATTTCAAAATGTGGTTCCAAAGGCATTATTTCATGAAAAAATGCTCATCATTTCAAGAGGTCAAGATTAGATTCCATCTATAGAATTACCAAGTCATCCCAGTTTGCCAGGGCCCTTCCCAGTTTTAGCACTGAAAGTGCTGTCTTGGGAAACTCCCAGTCCTGGGCAAACAGGGATGGTAGCTTACGCTAACTGAACACCAATTCAGCACTTTATTCAAAAGAACTTTAGAATAGTTCAAGAGTTTTTGGTGAAAACTCACTCTAAATATTAAAATTTCATAATTGGCTTTATTTTCATCTTGCTTTCAAATGTGATATTCCCATTCAACTTGCCATAAAATACATTTGTACTGTCAGTATATTTATCTTCCCATTGAAAAGAAGTTACATATTTATTTTTAAATGCTTTTACAAAACCCTAATTTAATTTGAAAGCATCTTTAATGACAAGAAAATGTATTAACTTGGTACTGGAAAATAAAATGTAAACAGCGCACAAGATTATTAAAATACTATTATTTGAGATAGGTATTTTAAAGGTGTACAAAATTTACATATTAATCTCAAAAGTAAATCTTTAGGGAAAAGATTACTAAAGATGAGCACCATGAAACCAAAAAAATGTTCTTTATATTTACTTAGGGCAATAGTTCATGTTTACTATTAAAATAGTAACAAAGTTCATGATGCTTGCTACTACTACTTGCTACTATTATGGTGTTTGTATTTCAGAATCCTGCAGTCTTAACAAAGTTAATTAAACATTATGTCTTATAAAAGCATATTCAACAAATTTCATATGATAGGTAAATATTTTGTAATCTCTTCTTAGTAAGGTAAGCACAATAAAACTTTTGATATGAAGAGATAAGTAAAGCTATAACACATGAAAAAACATGTAAGTGACTCAGGCTATATTATACACACAAACAATGAACACTAGTTGTAGTAACACATATTAAAAAAATCCTAGGTGTTACCTATGTAATATGTAGATTATTAAAAGTTTTACAAGTAATTTCTCAAGGTTTTAATTAGACTAGTAAAACTACCAATGCTAAAAGAAGAATAATTTTTAAAAATTTATATAGCTTAGTGTAACTTTCCTCGTAAAACAGCAATATTTACTATATGTAAATGATAGCTAGGCAAACTAAAGTAGTCACTGTTACAAGCAGTGAAATAAGTATTTGTAATTTTCCCTACCATGAGAAAAATGTCTCATAAACTACTGTTTTTACCTGGAGGAGGGAGTGGGAGAAGGAAGGAATTAATTCACTATATATATTCTTACCAGGACTAAGGCCAAGTTCTCTCATTAAATCAGGGTTACAAGCACAGAACCTATGTGAGAACTTTGTTATAAGAGTTTCAAGATATTCCCCACGCTCTTCAGGGGCATGGATGTGACGAAAAAATTCTCTCAGTGCATTGGGCAAGAATTGATTTCTAAAATTATGCAGTGTTACAAGGTCATCCAAGACATCTCTCCTAATAGAAAAAGAAAAAGATACAGCTTTAGTTAACTTTTCTCTGTTAATCATTTTTTTAATAAAAAATATTTTATTATTGAGTACCAGATCAGGAAATCCTATAAAGTATATATAATTCTTAAAATAAACAAAAATCTGTGTGATTATTTAAGGAATTAAATAACTTAAAAATATTTCATAAATAGAATAACAGAACAAGGTAAAACTAGTAATTCTAATTATAAAATGTAAAAATAAATTTTTCAATATTAAAAAGGGCAACTACTTTTCAAGTGTCTTCGTGGCTAAGTCCAAATAAGCAACATAATACTTTATTTTTTTAAATTATGAAAATAAGGAGTCTTCACCTTCCATACCCATCCACATCACCAGCAGTAACACACATACTATATACTGTTTTAGAATTTTCTTTTGCTTATTTTACATAGTATATTGTGAACATATTTCTGTCTTAAAAATTTTTTTTAATTTACTGATTTTAGAGAGAGAGGGAGGGAGGGAGAGAGGGAGAGAGAGAGAGAGAAAGAGAAACATTGGGTTGTTCTTCCACTTATTTATTCATTCATTCGTTGCTTCTTGTATGTGCCCTGACCAGGATCAAACCCACAACCTTGGTGTATCGGGACGATGTTCTAACCAACTGACTTACCCAGTCAGGGCTCTGTCACCACACACAGATCTGACGCATTCTTTTTAACGGCTCCACAGTATACCATCTTATGAATGTAACAATTCCAATGATATACATTTAGGTTTTTTACAGTTATATAAATATTTGTGCACATATATATGTGTATATATAATTATTATTTTTTATCAATAGCATTCTAATAAATAGTCAATCTTTGTTATAAATGCTTCAATCCTTACTGAACTAAACCATGATTATATGATCATAATCTTCAATATCTACCAGTTGCTTATGGCAAGGATAGGCAAACAACAGTTAGTGGACCAAATATGGCCACTGCCTATTTTAGAAATAACGTTTTATTAGAACATAGCTACACTCATTTGTTTGTGTACTGTGTGTGTCACTTTCATGACGCAATGGCAGAGTTATAAACCTAAAATATTTACAAAAAGATCAGGTTCTTTAGAGAAAAACTGCTGATCAGTAGGTACCTCACATTTAAAGATTAAAAGAGTTAATGACACCTTTTTTATGTAAGAGATTTCTTTCAATGACCAGTATGCTGGACTGTAACTCTTCAAAGACAGGGGTTATGTTGTAATCAAATGCATAATCCTACTCTCTAGCAAAGTTCCTGGAATATAATGAATGCAGATTGCTGTTGAAAAATCCTGAGAAATAAAGAAGACTGAAAATTACAATAAGGCAAACACAGTTTGGAGCCATTCATTAGATTAGAGTTAGACCTAGAATTTAAAAAATGGTAGTTCAGCCCTAGCCAGTTTTGCTCAGTGGTTAGAGCATCAGCCTGCGGACTGAAGGGTCTCGGGTTCAATACCAGCCAAGGGCACGTACCACAGTTGCAGGCTCGATCCCCGGCCCCGGTCAGGGCACTTGCCGAAGGCAACCAACCAATATGTCTCTCTCACATCGGTGTCTCTCTCTCTGTCTCTCCCATTTCCACTCTCTCTGAAAAAGCAGTGGGAAAAATGTCCTCGGGTGAGGATTAAAAAAAAAAAAAAAAAAAGGTAGTTCAGTGATGTCACATCAAAATGTTATCCCAGTATTTTTTATGTCCATTGGTAGCCATAATTAAAAAGTACAAATGAATGGCTATCAAGTCAGAGCAGGTACTAGGAATCATTTCTCTCTGTGCAAAACATGCTATTGAATGACACATTTTCAGGATTTTCAAAGTCCATTATTCTTCTATGTAGTATCGATATGAAAATATACACAGATTTCATATCACTAAGATTTGTGAGTTTATTACAATTTGTCTATGATTTTTACACAGGCAATTTTAGAATTTAGAACTTTTAGTCTTGTAAACACTTAGGTTTTATGGCTAGTTATTAAAAAAAAGGACTGCAACTTCTCAAAAGTACTTGGTTTTGGTTTGTTATTACAAAGATGTTGGGTTTCCATTTTGACTGCATGTGTGGGATTTTTTTTTTTTTTTTTTTTTTTACTTTTACTTTCCTTATCAGCAAGATAAAGCTGGCAAAGAAATGACTTGTAAAATACAGAATCTTTTCCCTGTCTTTACTCAATTTTGCAAATGGATAACTGCTATAGTTTTTAAAGTAAAACAACTCATAAAAAGCATTACTGAACTCATTTCTAATGAAAACTTTATTATTTTTACCTTTCATCAAGATAGATTCTCAGTTTTTTCCAATTTAGTGTTCTTGTACAGAAGATAAACTTTGCTATTTCCTTTGGTGAATCATCTAGGATACCCTTGGACATAAAGTAGTTCACTCCCTAAGGCAGAAAACAAGTCTCATAAATAAAATCAGTCTTTATTTATAAATTTAACAATTAGGCAATAGCAGAACAATAGCTATTAGTTCTTTCTAGCATTAATAGACTTTTTACAGCTTTATCATGCAAAATACAAGCTAGAACTTGAACTGAAACTATTATTTGTAGCTGACAGTTTGTTTACATGCACTGAAAAGTAGGAAATTCAAAGTTAAGACTCCTAAAGAAATTCTAATTCAATTTTCTGGCTCAAGTCAGTTAAAACTAACTATACAGAAATACAGCTTAAATTAGGGGGCGTTGAAGAGGGAAGAAGAGAAACTACTATACAGACTTCAAAATAAGCCTTATCACAAACACTTCTACTGTCTAACAAAAAAATACAATATCTTAAAGCTCAGATAAACATTCCAATACACTTTTCAAGGAAATAGGTTTTTTAGAAGAAAAGATTCTCCAAATGAAAGACTAACAACTTTATTCTGAAAAGAAAAATAATTAAATTATTTAACTTAAAGCAAAGTGAAGACAATTCCAGGCCAGTTTATGGTTGTACACACTTTGGCTTTAAGCACGGCTACATTCTACAAGGATTTAGCTCCAATACACACTGAGGCAAAACATAAAACAATTTATGTTTTCATAGGATTTATCTTTGAATTTCCTTTTCTCTGCATGCAAAGTTTTCCAGAGAAGCATTACCCATAAGTTTGTACCTACTTTAGATTTAAAACAACAACGAAACATCAACAAAAAAAAATCAAACGCTAAAATCAATCAATGTGTTCTCATGTATATGGAGGTCACATTCAAATACTTGCCTTAAGCAGATTTGAATGTGCAGTTATTGAAATAAAAGGCAGGTGTATTTATTTCAACTCACAGTTATCCAGATATTTGCATTACCATGAATGCTTATGTCTGGATAATAGCACATTGTGTGCTGTTAATTGGTAGAGAAAATGATGTATTATATACGCCCAACTTATTGTTTTCACACATAAATTCCTTCAGCATTTCTTCCCTTTACAAACACTTACACAGAACTCAGAAATATTAGACACATTAAGAATTCAAAAAGTTGTTAGCTTTTTACAAAACACTCTTAAAATTCTCTCATAAAATTTTTATATTAAGAAATTTTAAAGTAATTTGGTACCACGAGGTAATGCTTTTGAAAGGTTATAATACCTGTCAATTGTAACTCAAACACAAGGTTTTTATATAAAACTAACTGTATGAGCCATCAGATAACACCCTAATGAGAATTTTAATAGTACAAAAGCATCCTAAAGCACTCATTTAAAAAGTGTATACAAAGAACAGAATGTGATATCATGAAGCTTTCTTGTCAACCTGATTGTAAACCGAATTTCAGACTGCATCCTGGATACAAGGCTAGAGAATGTCACGTGATCAAGATGGAAAGCCAGAGAATTTGTTTGGAATGAGGCTTTCAGCAACTGTCTGAGGGGGCAGGACTAGAGAAACAGCAATGCTTGTTCCATCCTTTCCTCCATTAGTTTCAATAATCGAGAGTTGACTGTATATTTAATCAATCCACTCAGCAAAAATTGTCAGGTTTTTAATAGAATTCCTGCATTTGAAAGAATAACGATATATCAGAAGTGCTCAATTTTAACCCAAGTTATTCAAAGATAAAGAAGTGTCAATTAAATCTTATTTAATGAGTTCTTTATTCATACCTACTTATAAATCAATATTTAAGACATGTAAAACTAATTCTAATCTACTTTTTAAAAATTACATAAAATATAAAAAAACCATTAATTTGATTCATTAAATAGTATATAAATCTCTAATTACATGATATACACCATTTTTATATCATTTGATGCTCCTTAGTTATAAATTAACACTGGTAGCTGTCTCACGCAAGGATCATAAAAGTATACTGTTGGCCATTTCCTGTTTTATGACTTACATGTTTTGAGACTTCAGTATCTAACCTAACTTGTCCAGGCTTGAACATGTGGAAAAATAATAGAAATGCAAAGGAAATCTATTATAGAAACATGAGAAAAACAAAAAACTCATATGCTACTAAGCCAGGGTATAAGCAAAAGTGAAAGATGAAGGTAACTGACACTTCTGGCTTAGATGCAGTGAGAAATAAATGACTGACAGGAAAACATAACTGATAGTAAAGACCCCACAGGTTATAGAGGGCTCTGATTTGAAGGAAACAGTGATGTGTTTAGTCTTAGAAATGTTGATAGATACATCTAGAAAGGCAATTGGCAATGTAATAAGATATAAAGAAAAAAATGAAGGTTGAAGGTACAGATTTAAAATCTTGAGTAAGAAGACTCAGTATAAGAGCAGGTAATGAAGAGGGCAGGGGTAGAATAATGCCCATGAGGACATGAGGGAATAAATGGTGATGAAAAATAAAATAAAATTCAAATTAAAAAAAATAAAACCAATATTAAGTAATTTAGAACGAAGAAAAGATGTGTTGGAGCTTAGTCACCTATATAATGCATCCATTTACTTACTGTGAGATTGGCTCTTTCCATATAATAATTCATGTTTTAAGATGTAGCTACTTTGTTTTCTTCTGTTACATAAATACCCTTACTTGCTCTCGTCTTTTAATAAATAGGCATAAATACCCATACTTGCTCTCGTCTTTTAATAAAGCCTTTTAATAAATCACTATTATCCACAGTATGCTTCAAAAATAAAATCTACCATATATATGTTCAGAACCAGAAAATATATATCTGGGAACACAGTGAATTGTAGAAAACTAGGCATGCACAGCCACATAAAAAAGTATTGACATTTGCTGTGAACTTAAAACTACTCTAAAAAAACCCAAGTCCTAATTTTTAAAAAAAAGTACTGATGGTACTCAAAATAATGTCTATTGGCACAAGCACTTGGCAGAAACACTGTGTAACAGTCAATAAAGGAAATCACTAATGAAACAAAACTGAGGCATACCAGGGAGTACCCTTAATTTGTTTTCCTAAAGAACAGTTTAGGATATACAATTAGATTTAGCCAGTTTTGTTCAAATCTGCCATTGTATACAATGTAAAAGTCCAGCACCTTGGCTACTACTTTTTAGGCAATAAACCTATCCTTAGAGCATTATATAATAGAAAGCAGGGGAAGAAAGCAAACTGGAAAGTGTATTTAATTTTCTTTTTTAAAAAATAATTTTGAATACTTTTAAAATAACAATCCTAAAATATTAACAATAAATATTTATAAAATAATATAATTCAATCTAGATTTCTAATTTTTCAATATGACACTAAAACACTAATATTCAAGTATACATTTTAACCATGGCAAAATGGAAAATTGAAATATAACATTTTCACATCAAAAGTAATGACATAGCCCAGCAGGCTTGGCTCAGTGGTTGAGCGTTGACCTCTGAACCAAGAGGTCACGGTTCGATTCCCAGTCAGGGCACATGCACGGGTTTTAGGCTCGATCCCCAGTAGGTGGCACGCAGGGGGAAGCCCATCATGACTCTCATCACTGATTTTTCTAGCTCTCTCCCTCTCCCTTTCTCTCTCTGAAATCAATAAAAACATATTTTAAAAGGTAATGATGTAAAAATTAGGCAATATGTTATGAAAACTTTTATGTTCTTAATTATTTCTAAAAAATAATTAGCACATCAGAGGACAGCCCTCTACAGGTCAAATAGGAGTATTCCCATTGTATTGTGTGAAAATAACAACATCAATGATTAAGATGACTGCTGATACTACTTCTTTTTTATAGTGTTTTCAGAATTGCTAAAAAAATGCTAAGTCTACTAATTTTTATTCAGTCCAGCAGTTGTCATCCTCACTATTTAATCATATGACATGTGCTCTGTCATTAATAAAAAACAAACAAAACTAAACCTACATAGAACTTGAATAGGTAAAATTCACCTAGGGATATGTATTCTGCAAATAAATAGCAATACCTTGCTTTTTAACTGAAGTAAAATAAGTGCATAAGATTACAAAATGGGCAAGTTTCTTGGGAGCTTAAATCCTCTTGACTTCAAACAAGGTACATAAATAAACTGATTTCATTCCATATTCCATACTCAAAACTAACAGTATGGCTCTTATGTTCCAGAAAAAATGTGATGTTCTGACCAATTTCAAGAACTGCATAAGGAAATTGGCTACAGGATATTGGCACTGTTCATACTTATGTGAGAGAAGTGACAGTTGTGGAGAGAACAGAGTGCCAATATCCTGTGTTTGAATTCACAAGGATTTAAGCTCCTAAGAACAATTTATGAATAACTTTTTGGTATATTAAAGTGCACAATGCTCAGGAATCACTGAGGACAGTCACATATATACCCTAGATTATTTGCAGCCAGAAGAAGTCAATAGGAAATCTCACATAAAGGAGCTCAAAGAAAATTAAAAGAAAAATGTGAAATCCGCTCTGATGGAGTCCAGGGAAAATGGAAGAGAGGTGGACAGATCTTCTTAATTCTTTTCATAGGAGAGAAAGCAATGACATTAGACAAAATAACATGAACTTCAGTATCTAAGGTTTTAGATAATAATAAAAAGCCCATGTTAATTAGTTCTAATAGCTTCAAATAGAAAAAGGGCCACATCTGTGAGTTTTAATAGTCCTCAAAAGAGTCACACCATGATTGGGACAGAGCAATAAGGTGATAAATATGAAGGTACTTCCTAACTGACAAATTACTACTAATAATTAAATATAGCAATCATTATTACAATTATTTTTGACAAAGTTGCTGGTAGCTGAGGTAAGCTTCGTGAAAAAGTCCCATCTATCTCTAATATGTCTAAAAATTAGAAAAATAAAGCATTTTATTCAAAACATGGATATAAAACTATTAGGTTAAGGAATGATTAATAACATTTCAAACTAATGAGTGAGACATCTGAACACCAATGTTAGCTAATTTAAAAAATCACACACAAAAATTTCATTTGCAATGTGCGTGTGTATGTGTGCATGTATTTAAATGA